GGAGAGGAGCGAGAGGAGACCTGGAGGAAGGAGTCTGGCAGGAGGGCTTTCAGAGGGGTGCAAAGAGCAACCTCTCGCCCTCCCCAGCCTGGCACTGGGCAGCTCTGGCTCTGCACGGCCCTGGGCACGGCTCCCAGGCTGCGGGAGCTGGTGCCAACGCTGGCAGCAGCCACAGGTCTTTGCACCCTTGTCTGGGCTCCCTTTGGAGCCTGTTGGACGCCCTGCCAGGGGATGGAGTGGCAGCACCTTCCCTTCTCCTCAGGGAGGTGCCAGCTTCCCTGTCTCTGGAGCAGTTCTGGCTGGCACTGCTGCTGGGAGCGCCTCGGTTCTTCTTCCTGCTCTTGTCACACCCTGGGGCTGCTTGTCTTCCTCAGACCTTACCTGGTGCACCTTCCTAGGTCCCACCACTGCACATTTCCCAGGATTCTCCCAGTTGGATGCCAGCTTCCCTCCAGAGGGAGAATAATTCCGTGACAGACCGAGGGATGGTCGTGGTTCTGAGGTGCCTCTGATTCAGGGGGACCTGGAGCCCCGAGGGAGAGCCCTGAGGGTGCCAGAGTTCAGCAGCACAGCGTGGGATGGTCCCTATGGGATGGCTGCTCCTGGCAGGGGGATTTGTGAGAGGTGGGAGGGTGGCTTAGGCTCTGTAACACCGGGGGGATGGAGAGGCCATCAGGGAATGCTGTTTCTCACAGCGTAAGAGGTGAAGTTGGCTCAACTACGAACCTCTTGGGGGTGCTCAGAAATCCAAAGAACGCTCAGGAATCCGAGCAAAGTGCTCTGCTTTGGGTTTCACTCGCTGCTGCTCCTGGTGGCACGTGCAGGGAGCTCTGCTAGACTGGCAAGGCGTGACTTGCTTTGATGGAAGCGTTACTGGTTTGTTCCTGTCACCAGAAAATCTTCTTGAAAGATTTCGTAACTCCCTTTGATGATTTTTCACCCGTTTTTCCCTGGTGTTAGAATAAGACTCATTGGATTACGATTTCTGAGATACTCGACTTGAAAAAAAAAAGATAAGTGATTTTTTTTTTTCTTCCTCAGCAGAGAAGTTGATTTAATGAGAGAAAATGAACGTGAATGACTCTGCAAGTCTGTAATGGAGTTTGGGGGTGGCCAGTGCATTTTTTCCAACCATTCACAGTTGTGTCTTAAATATTATTGGGAACTAATGAGGTACCAGATGATTGGGGGGAAAAAAAAAAAGCAAGAATAATCCTGGTGATTACCATCTGGAGCGTTTAATTTCTCCCCCTAGTGAAATAACAGGACAGAAAAAAAGGAAATAAATAAAATCAGTGATGGGGAATAGTTGAATAGAACTCAGGTGGGCACCACTGCCAGCCTGGGCAGAGGGGGATTTGCTTGGAAGGGCCATGGGTCAGATCCCGTGGGACACCGTGGCTGCAGGATGGATCCAAAGTGCTCCTCTCTGCTGACTTTGTGTTCCTCCTGCTCTTGTTTCTGACCTCTCTGAGGCCTTTTCACTCTCCTGCTCCCAGTTTCATGCCCCATTTCATGAAGGTGCTGTTAGATCCCTTCTTCCAGGTCACTAATGAAAGTCCCAGTCCTCGTCCCGGGCCTGTGGCAGGAGCTGGATGGTGGTGGCAGCAGATTTGGTGTCCAGCCTTTGGCTGCTTTCAGGCCCAGCTGAGAGGCTGGCAGAGCCATTCTCCCTCACTGCCACATCTGGAAAGGCTCTGCCCTTCCCATGGCCACTGCCATCCTCAGGGAGCAATCCCAGCCAGGGACTTCTGTGGCTTCCCAGTTAGAGTCACAGACTGATTTGGGTGGGAAGGGACCTTAAAGCCCATCCAGTGCCACCCCCTGCCATGGGCAGGGACACCTTCCACCAGCCCAGGTTGCTCTAAGCCCTGTCCAGCCTGGCCTTGGACACTCCCAGGGATCCAGGGGCAGCCACAGCTGCTCTGGGCAACCTGAGCCAGAACCTCCCCACCCTCCCAGCCAGCAATTCCTTCCCAATATCCCATCCAACCCTGCCCCCTGGCACTGGGAAGCCAGTTCAGACTTCCCGTGCTCCCTTTTCTGTCCCTTTGTCCCACAGCCTTTTTTGCCATCTCCCTTCCTGGCCACTCTTCTCCTTTGTTGTGCTGGGAGAGGCCACAGCCGGCGGCTCCTCCTCGGAGCTGTTTGTGACTCGTGGTCATCTCAGCCACTTCTTCCCCTCGCCAGCCCCACCTTGTCCCTGGTGTCCCCAGCCCAAAACCCCAGATCCAGCCTGTCCCCTGCAGCCCTTGCTTTTGCCAGGTGGCCTTGTCTGCTCCAAATCTGCCTTTCCAATGTCACCAACCTTGGGCCCTGCCCAGGAGCTGTGTCCAGACTCCCTGGAGACACAGCAGGAGTGATGCCGTGGCACAGGCACCCTGGAAAGCCATGGATTTGGCTGGATTTGCTGCTGGGCAGGAATGTTTTCTCACACCTTACAAAGGGACTGGATGGGGATGGCTCAAACTGTCATGGCACCGAGCCCTCCCACGCTGAGAGTGTGGGCAATGGGAATGCAGGGTGCAGGAGACTCCCAGGCTCCCTAATCCTGGCAGCTGTGCAGCAGCAGCACAGAAGGGACCTGTGGCTCACCAGCAGATGTGGATTGAAGGAAAGGAGGAGCCCAGAGACCGACCAGTTGCTCCTGGGCTGATCTCATTGTCCGGGTCCAGCCACGGTTTCCGTTCTCGTGCCGCGGAGTCGCGGAGCTCGTGCTCAGGACCCGTTAAACTCACCCCGTGACCCCAAACTTCCAGGTCTGTGGATGCAGCCATCCCTCCCCGTCTCACCTGTTCTGCCAGTGCAGGGTGTTTGCAGCAGATGCTGCTCCAGCTGGGAGAGTTTTTGGGGCTGGATGCCCCGGCAGAGTCCGGCTCCCAGTGATTCCTGCCCTGTGCAGTCCCTGGGCCTCGGGGCGGGAGGGCCGAAGGAAGGGCCATTACTCATTTCCTGGACAGATCCAGGCCATGCCGTAAATCTCTCCAGCTCTCAGTGGTTTGGGGGCTATTTCTGTTGAAGGATCGTCACGTAGATTAAAGCCTTGAATCCCAGCCAGCCGTGGACCGGACACGGTCCCATGCACAGTCCTGCAGGGCTCAGCCCGGCATTCCATCTGCTCCTGGCAGGGCAGTCCCTGCCTGGGAGTGAGGGCTCGACCCTGGGCATGCAGAGTGTTCCTGCCCTTCCTTAGCCCTCACAGGCAGAGGTAACAGCCCGGGGATGTGGCTGCTCGTGTGGCTGCTCCACGCTGGAGCTCCACGCTGGAGCTGCACCGGCCCCCACGCCGCGGTGTGTGACCCCAGGCAGGTCTCTGGGGTGGGAACATTTGCTTTTTTTTCCCCCCCAATCATCTGATACCTCATTAGTTCCCAATAATATTTAAGACACAACTGTGTCCTCTCATTCCCAAAACTTTGGCACAAGGCCACAACTGCATCCTGTTGTCCACGTACAAGGTGCTTTGGGAAGCCCCTGGCAGCCAGTCCCTGGCCTGAGGGGTGGTGGAGGAGCTGCTGGAGCTGCAGCCCAGGGACCAGTCTGGCTGTTTGGGCCTCCAGGCTGGGATGTTGGGAACCCCATGGTGGGCAGAGCTCCAGCAACTGCACCATCAACAGCTTTACAGAGCCAGAATGAGGGCTTTTCCCTGTAAAATCCCAAGACGGGCAGCTGAGCCCCACGAGTCACATCCTGCTGGTGTCCGGCCTCCCTCGTGAGTCCCCCTGGCAGCTGGGGAAGGAGCCAGGCAGGGATTCCAGAGGCACTGGTGCAGGTGTGGAGATGGGGGATCGTGGTTGCAAACGGGGGACAGGGCTACTGGGACAGACTGGGGGCACTGGTGGTGGTGTGGAGGGAAGATCCAAGGAGCAGGGCAGGCTGCAGGAGCTGGGACAACCCATGCTGGGTGCTGTGTCCAGACCCTGTGCCCTGCACCCCGAGCCCTCCCTGGGTGAGCAGAGGGTCTGGGTGTCTGCACTCCTGGGACAGGTCCATGCTCTGGTGACAGGGTGAGGAGGGGTCCCTCCTGGATGGCTGGGGGACACTGCAGTGGGGACTGGGGAGGGCATGCAGTGACAACTGGCCCTTGGGGATCCCTGCATGGTGTGGAGCTTCTTGAAGAGGTCCCTGACGTGGGGATTCCCATGTAGGGTGAGGGTGGTCCTCTGCAAGACCCTCAACACAAGGATCCTGGTTGGGGGGCTGTCCCACAGTGCCCCTGCCATGAGGAACCCTGTGGGGTGGCCCTGGGACATTCCTGCGTGGTTGGTTGGGGGTTCCTGGGTGAAGGCCCCAAGATGGGAATCTCTGTGTGTGGGGAGTTAAGGGTCCTGCAGGAGGTCACTGTGGGCTGGGGTGGAGTGTGGGGGTCCCACCAGGTCCCCGAGTGAAGGTTGGGCATCCCCTGTTGGGGAATGGTCACTCCTGGGGGATGATCCCTTCTGAGTGGGTTCTGTGGGGTCCCTGTGGGGATGCCCGTGTGCAGAGTGGGGGGCTGCTTTCGGGCTCCTCCTGGGGAATGGTCACTCCTGGGGGATGATCCCTGCTGGGCAGGGGGTGTGGGGTCCCTGTGGGGTTGCCCATGTGCACCACGGGGGTCTCCAGCCAGGGGTCCCCTCCCGGGGTGCCACTCCTGGGATGCCTGTGTGGGGGGTCCCCTCCTGAGGGATGGTCCCTGCCGGGGGTTTTCGTGGGGTCCCTGTGGGGATGCCCATGTGCAGAGTGGGGGTTTGTTCCCAGTTTCTCACGGGGAACGGTCCCTGCCAGGGGTTTCCGTGGGGTCCCTGTGGGGCTCTGCTTTCGGGCTCCTCCCGGGGAACGATCACTACTGGGGGATAATCCCTGCTGGGGGCGGGTTGTGAGGTCCCTGTGGGGATGCCCACGTGCACCACGGGGGTCTCCAGCCGGGGGTCCCTTCCCGGGATGCCCCTGCCGGGGTACCCCGGGGGTGGGTGTCCCAGCCGGGGATGCCTCGGGGTGACGGCGTGTCCTTGCCCCCGCAGGGCCCCCGGGCGGGCTGTGAGCGCGGCCGGCGGTGGCGGTGGCGGTGCGGGTGCCGGCCGCCCGCCGCGCCGCACGGAGCATGCCTCTGAGCCCCGCCGGCAGCCAGCATGAGAGCCCCGACTCGCCGCCGCCGGAGCCGCTGCCGGAGCGCCAGCCCCGCGCCGCCGCCGCCGGGGAGCCGAGCGCCGGCCTGCGGGAGGAGACGCGGCTCGACCCGGCCCGGGGCCCCGCCGGGCCCCGCTCCCCCAAGCTGGCGGCCCCGGCGCGCATGGAGGAGCCCGCGCCCGGCGCCATCGTCGTCCGCATCGGCATCCCCGACCTGCAGCAGACGGTGAGTGCCCGACCGGCCGCGACCCGCACCTTGATGCGCATCCCCGGCGCTCCCGAGCCGTTCCCCCGACCCGCATCCCCGGCGCTCCCGAGCCGCTCCCCGACCCGCATCCCCGGCGCTCCCGAGCCGCTCCCCGACCCGCACCCCGAGCGGTGCCGGCCCCGCTCCGCCACAGCTCCCGCCCCGGCACCACCCGGCAAACTTCGCACCGCCGCGGGCGAGGGGCGACCGGCCACGGGCCCGGCGGGACGGGTCCCCATTGCCCCGCTCCCCCGTGTCCCTCCCCCGCTGTCCCGCTCTGCGCTGCCCCCGTCCCTGGTGCCCCCTTTCCGCTGCACCAGCTCCCCATTGCCCCACTCCCCATTGCCCCTTCCCCATTGCCCTGCTCCCCGGTGTCCCCATCCCCGCTGTCCCCATCCCCGGTGCCCCCGGTGTCTCCCTCCCGTTCCCCGCAGAGCCCGGCGCGGGCAGCCCCGGCGGCAGCGCTGCCTGCCCGGGGGGCTCCGGGGCCCCGGTGCGGCCGCAGCGCGGGGCCGTTCCCGCCGCCGGTCCCCGCACCGGCCGGGACCGGGCTGTGTCCCGCTTCCAGGGGGACGGCGGGGCTGGGAACGGGGAGCGGCTGCGGCGCAGGAGGCTCCAGCACCAGCCTGGTGCCGGTACCAGAACTGCACCGGGATCGGCTCCAGCAGCAGCTGGGCCGGGCTGCGGGAGCTCGGGAGCCACAGCGCCGGGGTCTGACGGTGGCCCGTGTGCGCGGGCTGTGCCCGATGCCGTGGCTGTGGTGGTTCGTGGTTCGTGTGGTGGGTGCTGGGTGCTCTGCTGTGCCGGACGGTGGCACAGCGAGGTGCGATGTGCCGCGTCGTGGTGCCCGTGGCACAGGTGGGACACGCTGGTGTGACCTCCCAGGAGCACGGGTGTGACCCAGGGGGGCACAGGCTTTGTGAGGCGTTAGCCAGGGTGGTACGTGTGCCACAGAGCGGGCAGAGGGAGGCAAGATGGGTGGTCAGCCCGGGCACAGCAAGGATCTGGCAGAGCTCAGTGATCCCCCGGAGACGGGGGGTCACCTGGCATTGGGTGCTTTGTGGGGTGTAAGAGCTTGGAAACAGCCTGGTCAGTGCAGGGGAGGGTTTGGCTGAAGGGCTGCGGTGACGGTGGCCCTAATGAAGAGCCCTCATTAGAGGAGTACTGGGGCAGTGTTTTGGGGCTGGGTGGGCTGTGGGGCACAGGGAGCCTGTGCTCCAGGACGAGGCATTGCGGGCAGGAGAGGGGGAACCCCTTTGGGATGAGGGGAGGAAGGTGAGGCGACAGACTTGGGGCGAGCAGAGCGTTGCTGGGGGTGGAGGGGATTAAGGGAGGTGGAAGCTCCTTTTTGTGGGAAAGAGCTCTCTTTTGGGGCCAGGCGTGGGGGTCCTGAGGAAGGGGTCGCGCCGGGGGACAGAGGGCTTGCTGGAGGACAGCGATGCTGGGGCTGAGGGCCAAGCCTTGGGGCCGAGGTGCTGCTCGCAGGCACAGCTCTGCAGGCTGAGCTGCCGGCGCCGGGGAGCGGCAGAGACAGGCGAGGCAGCGTTGCCGCTGCTGTCGAAGAATCGGACAGACGCGCTGCTCTAGCGGGGGACTGACCTTGTGCTGCAGGAAGGGCTTTACCTCCCCTCGCTCCCCCCCAGTCCCTGCTGGGGTTGTGAACGGGGGGCACGGGGGCTGCCCTGTGCCCTGAGCGCTGGGTTAGCCCAGCACATCAGCTCCTCCTCTGCCCCCCTGCGCGCGCCCCTCCCTGAGCCGGTGCTCCGGGGGGTCTCATCCTGCTCCAGTCCTCACCCCCGATCCCGCAGCACGGGGGTCCGAGGGCTGTCGGGGAGGGCTCTGCCCGTGGCCCTGGTGTCCAGCTCTCTGCTTTGCTGTTCCCTGGGCACTGCCCCGCGCCTCCCGTCCCTGCCTTGCTTTGTTTGGGGAGTGTGCGTGGGCAGTGGAGGAAGCAGCGGTGACTCCTTTTCCCCTGGAGAGCAGCAGTCGGGCTGAGGGCACGTCGTGACCTCCCCCCCCTCCCAACGACTCCTCTCTCTTAAGGGTCTTTTCCAACCTAAGGACCATCCCCAGAGTGAGTCAGAGCGAAGCCACTCAGCTTTGCCAGACCGAAGCGCCCCCGAGGCAGCGGAGGGAATGGGGCACTTGAGGCAAAGCTGAGCATCTTTGCATGTGAACAGCAGGAATTTCCCTCCCACACCTCCCTTCCCCAGCGGTGCAACCTCCGTGGGCTGGGGGTGGGAGCTGCTGGGAAGACTGGGGGTCTCAGCGGGCTGTCCGGGCTGGGGGGGTCCTTCCTCTCCCCCCAGCTGGTGGAGTTGGGGGCAGGAAGCCCTGTGGGTGCTGTGGGGAGCTCTGGGGCCAGGGAAGCGCTGTGGATGCTGGCAGGGGTCCCACTTAAATACAGGGAGGTTGGAAAAAACCCAGCTGGCTTAACAGCCCGCGGCCCTGAGAGCTGTGGTGCCCTGTGACCGGCCCCCAACTCCCCTCAGCTCCCCTGCATCATCCCTGTGCACCATTCCCTGCTCCAGGCACTCCCAGGGCTCATTCCTTGTGCCATGAGCAGCCAGGCTTGGTCCCTGTCTGCAGGGTGATACCCAGGCAGGTGGGGCCTGACCAGTGTGAAGAGGGACAAGGGGAAAAGGAGCCATTGAGCCCATCCTGGCTCCTCCATCAGGAGCTCTGGGATGTGTTGGAGGATGTTTGCTGTGTTTTGGAGCAGCTCACAGGACAGATGCTCTGGAGCTGCGTGTGTTCCCTGCCTCTTCTTCCCCTCTTACAAGACACAGGGCCCTTGATCTCATCCACCTGGAGAGCAGGGAGGATCCTAAACCTCTTCCCTGCTCCAGCAGGACTGTGTGGTTCCAGTGAGGGGTTGGTGTGCTGAGCTCCAGCACTTGCCTGTACCTGCCTTCCACAGCTACCTCTGGAGCTCTGGATCTGGCCCTGTATCCCCCTCCCTCAGGTGCCTCTGGAGCTCTGGATCTGGCCCTGTATCCCCCTCCCACAGGGGCCTCTGGATCTGTGGCTGATGTGCCACGGACTTTGCTATAACCAACTCTTCTTGAAGGTGGGAATTCCCTTTTGGGTTTTCAGGAACAGGGTGGACAGGCAGCTTTTCAGTACAAGTCAGACTCGGTTTGATGCCAGAGATCAGGGCAAAGTTCAGTTTATTAAGTTCACATCTTCTGTCAGGAGCCTCCAGGTGGGATTTTAGACTGTGAAGCAGCTGACTGACTTTTCAAGTGAAGTTTCCCAGCTCTCTTGGGGTCGTCTCCAAGCTTCTTTTAGGTTCCTCTACAACTCTCTACCACTGTGTTTATTCATCCCAAGGCCTTTGAATTCACTGGTAATGGTTTCCTTTGTTAGGAGCAAATCTCCACCCAGGCTATGAGCTTGTCTCTGGGGGGGGGAAAAGAAGACTGTCTCCTCCAGCACACCCCTGTTTGTATTTGCAGTTTTAGATTAAATGATCTGAGCCACCTGCACCTAATCCAAGCTCAGGGGAGAGGCTAAACTGCCCACACCTGTGCCAGCATCCTGATTAAATGCCACCTGGGGTATTTATACCCCAGAGTGCTGAGTGCCAGAGCTCTTTGCTGCTGGTCAGAGCTGCCTCAGGGAGCTGCAGTTTCCAAAACCTATGGAAGTGGTCACAGCCCCAAGCCTGCCAGAGTTCCAGGAGCGTTTGGACCATGCTCTCAGGTACACGGTGGGATTTTTGGGGTTGTTCTGGGTGGAGCCAGGGGTTAGACCCTGTGAACCCTTCCAGCTCGGGATATTCTGTGATTCCATGGGCGTGGGGCAGCTCTGCAGGTGATGGTGGCCATGGAATGTCCTGGTGCTGTGGGAGATGGGCAGTGCTTGGCACAGTGCTGGCACACACTGCTTTGGTGCTGGTCACTAGGAGAGTCCTCTGCCCTGCATTGCTCCTGGAGGGAGACTCCACTGCTTAGATGGATATTTTTCATGGAGCCCAAAATTTTCTATCCCCTGTTCCCTCTCCATGTGGCAGCTGAGGCAGCCAAGGCAAATATTTAGGGAAAGGAAGGTACCACGAGACAGGTACATCTCGTTGCTTCAGTTTTGGGCCCCTTCCTCCTCCCTTCCCCTTCCTCTGGGTCTGCCCAACCTGCTGGGGGGTCCACAGTGGTGGGACCCCCCTGGCTCCTACTCTTCCCACCTGGACTGTGGGTGCTGTGCTCCTGCAAGCGGGTTTTAGGGGTGGTGGTGGGTGCAGGGAGGGTGGCTGCTCTGCTGGGAGCCTTGAGGTGGAGTGGAACTGGGGTGGAGTTGGGACAGGTCAGGTGGCACAGCGGGAGGAGGAAGGACAGTGCCTGGGGAATGTGGGCTCTGCTCCTCGCCAGTGCCCAGAGGGAGCTGCTGCCTCTCCTGCATCCCTTTGGGCGCAGCTGTGGTGGTTTCAGGGCACATCATCAGTCCCTGAACCAGCAGGATCAGAGTCACGGGGGGTTTGGGCAGGATTTGGTCTCCTCTGCGAAGGGGCTGATGTTGAAGTGTGGCCTGTGGCCTGTGTTGCAGCTGGGAATGCCCGGGTGATGCTGAAGGATCCTCATCCTCTGGAAGGATGTCCTGTGGTGCCCAGGCAGGGGGGCTGGCATGTCTTTCCTGTGCTGGCATCTGTCCCACGGGAGGGCTCCTCCTCAGCACATGGATTTGGGGATGTGTTTGGACCAGTGAGGGGTCCAAGGACTTGGAGATGTGGGACCACCCTGCTCTGTGAGAGGCTGTTTGAGGTCTCCGCTGAGCCCAGAGCCTCCTTTCCTGTGGGGTGGAATTTTCCTTTCCCTCTGTGGCTGCAGAAAAGGCTCAGGTTAATATTCTAGCTTGTTATCTCCTTAATGCAAATGAAACAAGGGCCCAGAACTAGCACACAAAGCGTTGATTCTTCTGTTCAGCCGAGGGAAGCGAAGAAATAAATTTTCCTATTGTGAAAGAAATAGGCAGAGTTTTCCTGA